ACAAACATCCATCCATGCTCCTTAAGTGACTGGAAATCACATGTTGGGTCCTGCTGCAGATAACTTGTGAATCTTTTCTAAGTATGTTTTTTTTTTTCAGATTCTTTTAGATAAATCCCACGAGTCATCAGTTAAGCAGCACTTACTTCAGGGGTACGATATGCTGATGAACCCTAAGAAGATGGGAGACAGATTCCACTTTTTTGCACTTCTGCCTCATCAGAGGGTGCATGGCGGAAGTCACCAGACGGAAGCTCGGCCACCAAAAGTCTCTGTGTCGCCGGTGGCTGGGTTTGCTGAACTTGCTTGGCATTGATACTGACCTGGCCTTTTATTCCCAGTCTGCCCAAGAAATCAAAATAAAAGGAACCCATTGCAGAGTCTGAAGGTAACATAAGTGCTATTTTATTTCTTCACTGTCAATAAAATAGCACATATTATCTATAGTAACAAATTATAGACGTTTCAGTCCAGCTGTTAAATCTGAAGAGTGGATTCTGACAGATCTCCGGGATTTAAAAGGTAAAAAGCAGATAGAGATTTCTAGTTAATATTCCTTTTTTGTTGAAGGAGGAAAGCTGCCTTTAAGTAAATACGGAGTAGTTTCATGCAAGCTAACATACTAGCAGGTAACAGCTGCTTTTCTGTGCTTTGATATGTATTTATGTACAGGAAGTAAGGCAGACACACCAGATAATCACTATTCTCTAATTGGGAAATGAGGGAAGAGTTGGTGTTTGCACTTTTTGTCTAACACATCTATTAATTTTACCAGTAAAAATTAAAGTTAGGGCTCAGCCACAGCATGGGAACCTAGCAGTTAAAGTCCTCGCCTTGAACGTGCCGGGATTCCATATGGATGCAGGTTCTAATCCGGCAGCTCCACTTCCCTTCCAACTCCCTGCTTGTGGCCTGGGAAAGCAGTCGAGGACGGCCAAAAGCCTTGGAACCCTGCACCCATGTGGGAGATCCTAGCTCCTGGCTTCGGATTGGCACAATTCTTGCCATTGCGCCCGCTTAGGGAGTGAAGTGGTTGGAAGATCTTCCTCTTTCTTCCTCTCTGTATATCTGACTTTGCAATAAAAATAAATAAATCTTAAAAAAAAAACAAGTAAAAATTAAATTTAAAAACTTACTAGTCACATTAAAAAAATTCCTGGGGGCCAGGAATTCAGAGCAGGTCTCCCATGTGGGTAGCAGAAAACCAGTTGTTTGACCTGTCACTGTGTCCTCAGGGTCTGCTTTACGGGAAGCTGGGACAAGGAGCCAGAGCCACGAATGAAACCCAGGTGTATTCCAGAATGGAACTATGGTGCCCAAACTGCTAGGCAAATGCTAGCCAGAGAAATAGTTTCTAAATTGAACTCATTTGCCCTTACTTTCTGATAACTAAAAGTAGTATTATTTCCATATTTTGTTTTTTTGTTTGTGTTTAATTAGACATATATTTACAGGGAGGGGCAGGTATTTGGCATAGCAGTTAGGAAGTTAGGACCACTTGGGATGCCACTCCCCCCTGTCAGAGTGTTTGGGATCTAGTCCCAGTTCCCCTACCTCCAGCTTCCTGCTACTGTGCATGGGGGAGGCAGCGGCTGATGGCTCCCGTCCTGCATGCCTGCCACGCCCCCAGCTACTGGGGAATGTATGGAGAATGAACTGGCAGGTAAGAGATCGCTTGACTGCCATCTACCAAAATAAAAAAAAATATTGGCAAAAAGCTTGAATTTCTATTTTAACTATATTGGAGATTTGTTCATAGAACAGTAATTGTTGCTTTTTATTGCTGCTTCTGCTTACCAGAACTGGCCTAGCATTCTGTGTCTCACTCTGAAGAATGACAGACACCTCATTTTCAGATGCTGCCCTGTTCTGGACTGTTGGTAGTCATAGCCCCCCTGCACCCCAGAAGTTTATTTATTTATTTTTTATTTATCTGAAAGGCAGAATTAGAGAAGAGAGAAGTAGAAGCAGATGGAGATAGACATAGAGAGATCTTTCATGTGCTTGTTCACTCCCCAAATGGCCATAATGACTGGGATAGGCTGGGTCAGTGTTAGGAGCTTGCCAAGCACTTGGGCCTTCTCTGCTCTCCCCTGGTGCGGTAAGCAGGGAGCTGGGTCGGCGTTGGGGCAGCCAGGACTTCCTTGAACTGGTGCCGCATGGATGCTGATGTTACAGTGCTGGATTTAGGCATCACACCACAGTGCTGGCTCCCTACTGACTGTTTCCATATTATGTCCTTGATAGGAAGAATTTCAGAAAGATGAAACGTTCATAGTTGGCCCCTCCCAAATTTGTAATGGTTTTAAAAATTGACAGGAAAGAGTCAGTGCCTTATTTCTTAGAACTTGCAAAATTACACTGGCAATTTAGAGTTGAGTATTTGGTTGTAGTTCCTGAAAAACATATAATTATCCCAAACTTTCATTCCCAGAAATGAGACTTCCAGATAATTACCCCAAAGTTAGTATAAAATTATAACAATAATTGTTTTTTATTTTTGATAGGTTAAAAAAAAACCAGTGTTCTTAAATATAGCATTAGTTCCATTTATAAATACTGTTTCAGAACAGTTCTGTTGCTAAGCCTTGGGGGGAAAACAGCTAAGATGTTCTCTGGATACTTCTTAGAGACATGCTCAGGTTTTCACATGTATGGTGATACACAAATACATTTTATTATCAAGCTTCTTTGAAGATATTTACAAAAAGTTGGTTGTAACAAAAAATATAAATGTACTAAACAGTGTCATTATAGACTACTTTGTACATTATCAAATGTTTTTAGCAAACAATTATTTCTTGTATAAACACAGTTTAACTTCAAGACAAAAGGTTACGCAGATTATACAGCATCCAGAGTCAATGGAGTCAGTGTTCAACTCCAAACTATCTGACAGTGCCTTTACACCATTTTTTAGAAAACTTCTTAGGTATTCAACAATAATAAAAAAAGAGTGCAATTAATTTCATGGCTTGTAGTTTGATTATCTAAGTATAGCTAATGAACATCATTCCAGTTAGCTTTCCCCTCTGTGGTAAGACCACAGTAGGCTGTCTATTAACTCAGAATTATTTCACTTTGGACACAGTGACATAAACTTACACTGTAGAAATTTGGAGAAGCTGTTCTCTACGACAGAGAAAATACATTTCCAAAATGTTTTCAGAATTATTTTGGTTTAATCTTTTCTATGAGAACAGGTTACCCACATGTATACAATGTCTGGGAATTACTTCTGCATAGACAATACAACATCATGGTTAGGAAGTGAAGAGGGAGTCGAGTCACACGGCCTGTGTTCAGATCTACACCGAGTGTCAGTCGCCTTACGTTTAGGGTAAGGTTCATAATGTGCTTATCACGTGGTGGTGGTTGTGTTGTACATGAAGATTTTAGAACACTGGGACACCGCATAACAAATGTTTGCCCCTGTTCTCTGCAGGACACTGTCAGAGCAGAGCAGCCCCGGCATCTCCAGAGGCCCTCACTCTCACCGTTACCTGTAATCACAGCCCATTCCTCTGCCCCCTAACTCGGTCTGCAGGGTCAGTTAGAATTTGTACATTGTTTAGCTGACTGAATAGAAATGTACCTGACCCTCATGGCCGTGTTGGAACAAAAGTAGAAACAAGAATTAAGATTTTTATTTTATATAGCAAAAGACTAAACACTCAGATTGCTGCTTCCCAGACCAATGTACTTATTAACACATGGAGCCAAGACTCATATCCAGATTTTCTGATGCATTTTTGCTTTTTGTATACTGGAGAAAGAAAAAACAATTATGACTACTGAGGAATATAACCAAAAAAGTCTAGGTTTCTTACAAGTGAATGATCTTAGATTTTAAATTTTATTCAGGGAAAATATGAATTGAGAATTCCTAATCAGAAAATCAAAGTGGCCCTTAAAATGCTAGAGTTTTGGATTTTTACATCAGGGAGGCTCAAATGGTTGTCTGAAAATATTCCAAAATTAAACTTCAAAATCTAAACCACTCTTGTCCCAAGCATTTCAGATGAGGGAACCTTAAAAATGCATTACTAATATGTTTAAAAATAGCTGAGTAATGGAGCTGAACTATAAAATGAAATAATTATTTTAAATTTGCTGTGCTGATAATACTCATAATTCCCCTAGCTTTATGGACTGATGCAACTCCAAAACAGACAGCAGGAATCACTGTTTCAGAGTTTTGCTTGACCTAAGAAAAGGTAACAGATTCCAGCACTCCCTTATTAGGTAGCCAGGAAAAACCTTTCCATTTCTTCAAGATTGATTACACAATGAGTCTCGAGTACATCACATATTGGTAGCCTCACAGTTATTGCTTAAATGCAAACCTGCTCAGTTATTAATAAACCTTACAGCTCTTTGTTGGATTTGGTTAAACTAGGTACTAACTGGATGCCAGCTTGCCTTAAAAAAAACATCTAGGGGCCTGGCACGATAGCGTAGTGGTCCTCGACCTTGCACACGCCAGGATCCCATATAGGCACCAGTTCTAATCCCAGCAGCCCCGCTTCCCATCCACCTCTCTACTTGTGGCCTGGGAGAGCAGTCAAGGATGGCCAAAAGCTTTGGGACCCTGCACCCGTGTGGGAGACCCAGAGGAGCTCCTGGCTCCTGGCTTTGGATTGGCTCAGCTCCAGCCATTGCGGCTACTTGGGGAGTGAACCATCGGACGGAAGATCTTCCTCTCTGTCTCTCCTCTTTCTTTCTATCCGCCTTTCCAATAAAAATAACTAAATCTTTAAAAAAAAAATAAGAACAGGAAAGGGAAGATAAATTAAGTGGCATTATTGTATTAAAGTGGAGGAAAATAATTAGAAAAAAATAGACCAGTTATTGCTTGTTATAAAAGTTTATAAAAAGCTTCATTTTAATTCCATTGTACGTTTGTATTCCGTAGCGCTCTCCCCTTGAACCTCCTTATTATAAACTCTAGGACTGTTAGCACTTGTTCGTTAACTTATGTCTGCATGTCTTTGCATTGTTTCACACTGACAGCCTACAAAGAAACAGTTACGTAGCCAAACATCACTCCATAAAGTAGAATCCTTCTTTCCTGAAGTTAGCTCATTGATAACTAAGGATCTTCTTCCATATCATCGGGATTGGGAGCCATTATGAAGTGCTTGGGGTAGTCCAGGTTGTGAGTATACGCATGGATTTCCCAACGAGCATCATCACTTTCATGTGTAATGTAGCGCTCTCCAATGCGTGTTTCAAATTCTCTAAGGTCAAGCCAAGTCTGATAGTCCTGGAAAGAAAAAAGAAGTGATTAGGAACCATAAAATAAATTATTTTCAACTGTGCTTTTGTACTTGGCACTTCAGTCAAATAATTGATAACTCTTAGTTTTTACTATATATTAGGTTCTAATTAGCAATATTAAATATGTGCATTTTTAAGAGCTAGTGCCATGGCACAGCAGTGTAATCCTGAGCCTGTGGTGCTGGCATCCCATATGGGTGCCAGTTCGAGTCCCAGCTGCTCTACATCCTGTCCAGCTTCCTGTAATGGCCTGGGAAAGCAGCAGAAGATGGCCCAAAGCCTTGGGGCCCTGTTCCTGTGTAGGAGACCCAGAGGAGGCTCCAGGCTCCCAACCAGCCCAGCTGAGGTCAGCTGGGGAGGGAATCAGTGGATGGAAGCTCTTCTGTCTCTTCCTCCTCTCCCTAATTCTGCCTTTCAAACAATAAAAACTTTAAAAATATTTGCTACAGGCATTGGAAGTTGCTGGAAACAATCCCTGAAACAGCTGGTGCTACAGTGTCAGAGGCCTTGACTTCACTCCGCGAAACAGGGCAATGTGCTCAGAATCTCAGCATGATCTTTCAATGTATTATTATTTTCCATGACACAGTTTTGTGAGTATAGGGATTCCTCCCTCCAATTCCCCTTTCTCTCTCCCACTATTTTTCTTCACATTATTACAATAGAATAAGTCACAAGTCCAACTTTCTGCTATTTAAGTGTATCAAGGCATTTGTAGATACAGGCAATGGTAGAAATCTATCATATTGTCAAAGTATATTTAACTTTTTTAAAGCATTTTTATTGGGAAGGCAGATTTATAAAGAGACACAAATTTGAAGAATAAACAAGCAGATAGAAGATGTTTCTGTCTCTCCTTATCTCTCTATCTTCTGTCTGCTTGTTCACTCCCCAGATACCTGTAGTGGCCAGAGCTGAGCCGATCCCAAGCCAGGCCCCAAGAGCTTCTTCTGGGTCTGGGTGCAGGGCTGTCCTCCATGCTTTCCCAGGCCATAAGCGGGGAGCTGGACCAGACAAGGAGCAGCCAGGACACAAACTGGTGCCCATATGGGATGTAGGCACTTGCAGGTGGAGGATAAGCCAGCTGAGCCAGTGTATAAGGCCCTCTATTTAAGTTTATTTATTCAGCAGTAGAGATGCATACTGCAGTGTATCTTCACTGCCCAGTATGCTAGTCTCATTTTAGTTCATCTACAAAAATATATGTATATCCATGTTTACCTGTATATCTTTTTGTTTTGTATTTTGCATTAAGTTTGCCTTATATCAGAAAGAATGTGCAGTATTTGTCTTTTGGGATTGGCTTATTTCACTGAGCATAATGGTTTGCTGTTGGGACCATTTTGTTAAAATGGCTGAGTAGTTTAACAGCTGAGTACAATCCCACAGAGTAGATGTAACACTGTTTCTTTAGCTATTCCTCTTGGCAGGCATTTAGGTTGTTTCCATGTACTCACTATGTGTGGACTGGCCTGTTATGAATTTAGGGTTGCAGCTCACTTTCAGATTTCACTTTGTTTGGATATATTCCCAAAAGTGGGCTACCTGGGTCGTATGGCAAATCAATTTTCAGTTCTGTTAGCACTGTCCATACTGACTTCCATAGTGTTATACTAGCCTACACTCCACCGATAGGGAAGAAGGGCACCTTTCCCCCCACATCCACACCAGCAAGTGTCGTTACCAGAGTTCTGAATGTAGGCCAATCTCGTTGGCGTTGGGCAGAACCTAAATTTCTATTCATTTGTTCATTTGTATTTCTCTAACACCTAGGGAGCCTGACTTTTTTTTTCCATTTGTCTACTGGCCATTTGGATTTATTTTTTTGAAAAATGCCTGCTCTTTTTTTCCCCCCATTTCTTCACTAGGTTGCTTGTTTTCAATCACTGAATTTCTGAAGTTCTTTGTAAATCCTAGGTATTAGTCTCCTATCTGCTGTGGGGTGTGTAAGGATTTTCTCCCATTCCGTTGGCTGCTTCCTCTCTTTAGTTTCCTTTGCCGAACAGAAGCTCCTTAGGTTTGTTGTAGTCCCATTTGTTCATTTTGGGTTTGACTGCCTGTGCTTTTGATGGCCTTTCTAAGAAGTCTTCACCAATACCTGTATCTTACAGATTGTTTTATTATATTTTTCTCTACTAGTTTGATGGTTTTTGAGTGCAAATTTAGGTTCTTGATCCATTTAGTGCTTAGTTTTGTATAAGGTGACAGGTGGGAGTCTTGCTTCTTGTCTCTGCATTCTTCTATCCAGTTGTCCTCATAGCATTTGTTGCAGACTCAGCTTTTTACCCGGATCATTTTTATTATCTTGGAAAAGAGTAGTTGGTTGTACTTGTGTTGGCTCTCTTCTGGATTTCCACTGATCTCTGTTTCTATGACACTACCAGATTGTTTTGATGGCCACTGTCCCACAGTATGTGGTCTGGAATTGTGATTCCTTCAGCTTTATTTTTATTCTTTGGGATAGCTTTGGTTATTTGTGGTCTCTTGGAAAATAACAATAGTTTAATAACTTGATTGTGTTTGCTTTTAAGTTAACTGTATCCCTCAGTCTCTTTAAAACTTTTCTAACTTACTCTGAAGCTTGTAGTCCTTTTTTTTTTTTTAAATTTCTGTTGGATAGGCAGATACACAAAGAGGAGTAGAGTCAGAGAGGAAGATCTTCCGTCCGATGATTCACTCCCCAAGTGATCGCAACGGCTGGTGCTGTGCTGTTCTGAGGCCAGGAGCCAGGAACTTCCTCTAGGTCTCCCATGCAAGTGCAGGGTCCCAAGGCTGTGGGCTGTCCTCGACTGCTTTTCCAGGCCACAAGCAGGGAGCTGGATGGTAAGTGGGGCTACCAGATTAGAACTGGCACCCATATGGCATTCTGGTGTGTTCAAGGCGAGGATTTTAGCTGCTAGGCCGCCATGTCGGGCCCGTAATCTTGTCTTTTGACAGATTTTGAGGCAATTATAACATTTAAACAGGCACATTGTCACTTTAACAGAAAAATAAGCCTTATAGTGGATATCTAATAAAATAGACTTGATGAAGTAATATATCAGGCTAATCTCATAAAGGTCAGATGAACACATGAAGACCCTAACAAAGTGAAGTCAGTGTTTGCAGGATGTGGCAGTTGAAATGCCTGTTAATACTGATTTGAATGATGTACTGTGTACAATATTTGGAGAGAAATTCAACTCTGTCATAAGCTAACCCTGGAAGGGCACTTATATTACCTGCAGAATCCAATTATCAGAATGATTTCATTAGGAACCTACCTTAGTGAACTGTTCAAATGAGGATAGCTAAAGAGAGATAATATGTATTTTCTTTACCTGTAGCCAAGGATGACTAAGAGATTTGTCAACACTGTAACGTTTTCTCATCTTCACTTGAAGCAGGTTGTTTATCAAATCAATTGCTAAAAGGAGACAAAATTAGATGTTTGACTCTGTATACACCATCCTAATCTGTGGCACTGCCTAGAAGGCAGTTTACTCACCAGAAAAATCAGAAGGAGAGGTTTTTGTTTCTTAATGACATAGGCTTTATGCCGACACATAAAAGTTTTGTGAATTAAGTGCACCTGTCAGAATTTTATTTTAAGAAGGCAATACAAAGTACAGGGTAAATATACAGACACTTTGCTCTTAGACTGCCCAGGCTGGAATCTGGGTCTTCCACTAACAAATTTCTCGCTATATGGTCAGTTACTGAACTAAACTTTGTTTAGTTTAAAATGAAATTAAGGAGCCAGAGTGGGCTGGGCTGCCACTTGTAACACTAGGATTCCATCTAGGTAGGGGGGGGGGGGGTGGTGTGTGTGTGTGTGTGTGTGTGTGTGTGTGTGTGTGTGTGTGTGTGTGTGTCCGTGTGCGTGTGTGTGTGTGTGTGTCCGTGTGTGTGTGTGTGTGTCCGTGTGTGTGTGTGTCCGTGTGTGTGTGTGTGTGTGTGTGTGTGTGTGTGTGTGTGTGTGTGTGTGTCCGTGTGTCCCCTGGCTGCCCCACTTCCAATCTAGGGCCTTGCCCATGGCCCAAGTAGCTGCTAGGATTAGGGCCAGCGTTTTTGGAGAAACAAAAGAGGCCTAACTTTTCTAAAGGCTGGCTAACTCTAAGCCATGGTGTTCCTCAGCTGGTAGGTTTTAAGTGGTTTAAGTTCCTTCCTGTTAGTATCAGTAAACTGAAGAGGACCAAGTGGGTACAGAATGAAGAGCTGAACTCTTTAAAGCCTTTAGCAGGAGAAACAATTGAATTAAGATTCCCAGAAGGGGCCTTAAGAGACATGAAAACAAAGTGAGGTGTCTGTTCAGGAAAAGGAGCCGAACCACACGGCTCCCAATAATTACCATCTTGTTCTGAAGACTAGAAAAGTCAGTTATCCAGAGTTGGAATGCTAAGAAAAATGTTCAGCTGTTACTGTGAGTAGATCTTTTTGTACAGGAGTGGTCAGGGAAAACTTCATATCCGAGCCACAAGGTACAAAGGTCCCTGAGTTTGGGCAGCAGTTGTGGTCAAAGGGAAGCCCAATGTTTGTAGTGTTTCCTGGAGATGGACTTGACAATGGTGACTGGATAGTTAAATTGATTTTAGTAGTTCCAACATGAGACAGCAAGGGCGTAGATTAGAACTATATCTGGGAACCCTTTAAGGTCTTCCTTTAAGAAGACAGTGCCAGAACCAGAAGAGACAACATTGAAAGATGAGGGCTCAACAACTGCTAGCTGATACAATTTGAAAAATGAATGGGAGATGGTAATAAGAAAAGTCAGAAGAGATAGGTTGATTTGGGATCTCAAGAATATTTAGATTAACAAGCAAAATAATTTTTTTTTTTTTACCTTCAGCAGAGATTTCCTTCCATGGATTTGGTGGGTACATAAATGCAGCATTTTGGATTTGGTCATTTATATCTTCATCTTCATTAAAAGGAAATGTTCCGCTGAGGCTCACGTAGACGATCACCCCCACGGACCACATGTCCAGGGAGCGGTTATAGCCTTTGCTCCTGAGAACCTCCGGGGCTAGGTACGCTGGAGTTCCCACTACAGACCTCCTGAAGGACTTCTCTCCGATGATTCGAGCAAATCCAAAGTCACACAGCTTCACCTGGAAATCAAAGAGTTGTTATTTTTTGTTACAACTTGTGTAAAATGGTGTGTCAATCTATATCATATAAATACCCAAATGTCCGCACATGATACTCTACTTCAGTGTACTTGCTGAACATTATGAATCTCAAACAGCAAAAAGACGCTTTCCCCCAAACCAGATACATTTATAGCACTGAGATTCTGACTACCACAGAATGAAGAGCATTCCTAGTTCTCTAGTACTTATTTCAACTTTTGGACTTTTAAGTTCCAGAAGGCCAAATACTAAAGTGGTATTCCAGTGTTCGGTGATTTAATGAAATAGAAGCTGCTTGAGTGGGCACTGTGGGATAAGCAAGTAAACCCACTCACTGCTTGTGATGCCAGCACTGCTCTGAATCCAGCTGCTCCACTTCGGATCTACCTCTCTGCTAACGGCCTGAGAACAGCAGTGGCATGTGGCCCAAGTGCTTGGGCTCCTATCACCCACCTGGGAGCCCTGGGGTAACTAGGTGCCAGTGCGGCCCAGCACAGCGCACTGAGGCCATCTCGGCAGTAAACTAGCGAACGGAAGAGGTCTCTCCTCTCTATAACTCTGACTCTGAAGTGAGCAGAAGTATCTCATTTCTGAGTCCTCACCACTGTCTAAACACATAGGCACTAATAAATGTTGAATAAAAAATTAATTTGCAATATAGAAAAGCATTCTTTATTTTTGCTTAACCCCAGAATCTATTGTCACATCACACTGTAAACTGGCAAGTAAACTGAGGAATATTAGAGATATCTACTAACAGGAACAACAGAATTCTCCAGTAAAGAAGAGTACTAGCATTTTCTATGACTGTGCAACAATTTACTAGTCATTACTGAAGGCAAGTCACAGTGGCTACTGTGACTATGGAGTTCTACCAGTGTGATGTTGGCAAACTCAGAAACTCATCTTGTTACTTTCTGTAATGTTGACACAGGGAGGCAGTGGAATCCATTTGTCACCATAATGGCATAATGGTGGGACACCAGGCCACATTTTTAAGAAGTTCAGGTTTGGGTGACAAACCCATAGTGAATAAGCAAATGCCAAGTGCTTCACAGAGGAAGTGATGTGACTAAAAGAAATGTCTACAGTAAAAACATTACATAAATTAAGAGAAGCAATTTGGCCTCTAGAAAACAGTATAGTGCTTGCTTTGGCAGCACATACAGTGAAAATGGAACAAAAAGTATTACACAGTGAGCGGAGAACAAAAAAATACAAGGTGTATTCACTTGCTATTTCGGTGACATGCACCTTGACATGCTTTTCTGAATGACTGTGTTGGAGATGGAATTCTGAGGGCAGGTTTCGGCCTGGCCTACGTGGCCATTACAGCCATTCAGTGGTGAGGCAGAGGGTAAGATCACTGCTCCCCCCGCGCCCCCTCTAGGACCCTGCCTTTGACACAAACCCGCATGTTATCCAGACAAAGCGCTGCTTCCAGAGGACACCTCACCTGAGGAAATGGCTCTGCAGATGCAAGCAGCACATTTTCTGGCTTTAAATCACAGTGTACAATATTCTTAAAATGTAGATTCCTCAAAGCAACAAGTATCTGTTATTAAAGAAGAAAGATTTTGTTTTCAATGACTAGGAAATCTTGGTTAAACCCCAGTATAATTCCTTAAGTGGTACAATTTGCACATTTCCACTACAGTTCACCAAGATTTACCTGAAGGCATTTTGTTTGTTTCAGGTTTCCCAAGATATAAAAGCAAAACTACTTAATTCTCTGAAATTTCAATTTACTAGTTCAGAAAAGAATCGAAATACCTGTGTGACCATGAATTTAGTAATTCGTTCTGGAAGCCGGCTTTTCTCACTGGATAGAATCATTTCCAACATATCCCCATGCAGCTTTTCCATTACTACAAAGACTCGTTCTGGGGTTTCAAACATACATTCCAAGTTTACAATCCCAGGATGGTGTAAATTCTGAAAGAGTTTGCAAGATATTTACAATTGACTGCGTAATATAAAAGGCACCAAAAGAAAAACAGCTTAGTAAAATAACTAGTAAGATCGAAGAATTACAATCAATAAAAAGGGTTAGGATCTGAATTTCAAGTTGAGTCCATAGAGTAGCTGCACAGAGGGGAGAACCATCTTTCCTTCAACTCCAAGGAGTTGTAGTCCTCTCTCCAAGACAGCATTTTTACAATTTTTCTGCATAGGTTGGCTACTTGTTATTTTGACATATCTCCCCTATGCTCCAACTCGATTTCAGGCTGTTTTTATTATTATTATTAATCTTTTAAAGATTTTGAGGGAAAGGCAGATTTAGAAATGGGAGAGTCAGAGAGGAAGATCCTCCATCTGCTGGTTCATTCCCCATGTGGCTGCAATGGTCAGAGCTGAGACTCCTCCAGGTGTCCCATGTAGGTGCAAGGTTCCAAGGCTTTGGGTCATCCTGCACTGCTTTCCCAGGCTACAGGCATGGAGCTGGGTCGAAGTTGAACAGCCAGGACATGAACTGGTGCCCAAAAGGGATGCTGGGTTATAGGCAGAGGATTAACTAATTGAGTCATTGCATGGGTCTTGGGCCTCAAGATTTAGTTTTGTGTGTGGGCGTTTTTCCTAAAAATGGGGCAAGGGTGGGGTAAGAGATGGAGAACTTTTCCAACTATTTTGTTAAAAAGATACTCAAATGAATATGGAAACACAAAGACTTGGAAAAGCCAAAGCAATCTTAAAGAAACAAACAAGCAAAAACAGCTGGAGATATCACAATGCTAGATTTGTTCTAGACATACGACAGAGCTGTTACCAGAGCAGCCTGGTGCTTCTGTACTAAACAAAATCAAAACTGGTAGGTAAGTCACACGTCATGTTTTTTTTTTTTACCTGTAAAATAGCTACTTCATTTCGGAGCTGACTTTCCTGTTTTGTGGGGAATCTCATCTTATCAATAACTTTAATTGCCACATCCCTTCCAGTCTTTCTATGTTTTCCTATTAAGAAAAAAAAAATAGAAGGAAGAAAAAAAGTAAATGATTTCTCAGATATGACATGAAATTTCCAATAAACTTAAATTTGTATATATTTACTCTTGCATTTCTCCTTTGGTTCATTTTCTTATCCATATTCTTTCACTTAATCTTAATTTCAAGAAGTAACTTATGTTTTTCCTCTCTAGTTCTTGTCCCTAATAAAGACAGCTTCATTATCTGAAATGACAGAAAATCTAAATGAACCTGTTTGCTGAGAAGTAATATATTATCTAAGATAAACAATATTAAATACCCTGATCTGTTCTTCAAATAATCTGTCAACATGAAAACATGCTAATGAGTTAATATATTTTTTTCTAAGCTCAATCATCAGGGTGCTTTTTAGCTACTTATTATTCCCCAAAGCAGGGTCTTTATGTTCAAGAAACGTGATCTAAATTTATCGGGTAGAAATGTGTAACCTAAAAGCATTCCTTCATTCATTCAAAGTTATATTAGTATATACCAGGCAGTGTTTCAGACACTGTGAGTGAAGTGGTGAAATGATGATCGATTTTTTCTTTTAGCCAATATGTGATTCACATTCTCTACCTGTCTCAAGGGCATAAAACTAACTGGCAAATCAGCACATTTAGGCAGCCAAAGGTATCACAGACAGTTTTCAGTCCCCTCGAGTAGACAGGATTTGCTAAAGATGTTACAAATCTTAAAACTGAGAAGTTTGAAGATGCAAATATTAAATGTTGACATACACATGTTAAATCAAAACAATTTTCTGGGTTACTGCTGTGTCAAACAAAATGACAGCTGCTAGGTCTCTCAGCCTAACCTCAAAGAAAGCTCAACTGGATGACAATATTCTAAACTGAAAACATTACAAATACTGTGACAGAAATTTCGACATTAAGTATTACGTGCATCTAGAGGCAGCAATGAGTTTTACTTGATGGAGTGGTAGGACTGGAGACAAGTGTCTGCCTAGAAAGTCCTTCCGTGGGCCTGTGATCTGGAAAGATGCTCACTGGAGGGACAGATGGGAAAGGAGGAGTGGCAAAGATAAAAATGCACATCAGCAGGACTGGAAGGCAAAGAAAACAACTAGGAGAGGCCAAAAAGTACAATTAGGAGCCTGGAAAACCTGGGACAACCCCCTTGGCCTTACAGCCACTAAGAAAACTGGCCTTGCATTTGTAGGCAACGATAAGCCTCGGGGTTCTGTGTGGGGTGATACATGTGAATTTTTTGAAAGATTAGTGTGCAAACAGGGCAATCAGGAAGCAGACAGGCCAACCAAGAGACTACTTTTAACAGTCTTGACAAGGAATGACAAGAGTTTAACAATTTTACTTGATCATGGTTTATTAAGTACATCCTATACATTTGCTTGAACTCTGCGAGCCAGCTTTTATTAGCTCCAAGGGACAGGTGAAGACACTGAGGCATAATGATTTTACCAGTATCAGAGCTGGTTGGCGTCAGGTGTTCAGATCTGACAAAACCAGCAGTAGACAAATAGCACCATTTGTACTGAAAACTCCAGTGCACAAGCCCATAGCTCAATATCAACTTGAAATCATTCTCACCCCACAGACATCTGCAAGTGTGAGCCACAAGAAAAAATAAAGACTATTGCACAACTAATTTTCTGATTCTTTGTTACTTCTAAAGTTTACAGTTAAAATTAAGGAATGAGTACTTACAGGTCTCAGAAAAGGATACTTGAGAAAAACAAAAATAACAAAATCAATGTTTTAAAGTTTCAAAACTTTCATGCAAGAGCGTAACTGCTCACCTCCATACACAATGCCGAACTGGCCTGAGCCAAGCACTTCATCTGCAAAGATCTGGTAAACAGTACTGATGTCCTGTCGGGAAATGTCATCAGTATTATTTACAAAACAATGTCAATATCTGACTCTTTGCTCAAATAATGAAAATTTTGTTTTTATGTTCGAGGCCAATTAATTTTCAGAGTACAAAATATATTTTTTGAAACACAGGGTATATTCCAAAATAAGTTAAGCTTTAAAAAGGCTAAGTTTAAATCCTATACTATGATTGAACTTATTCTTTAGGTAGACCTTCAGGATAAACTGTTTAATAATGAAAAAAGAACAAAACCTTACATTGACTATACAGGGTCTATAAAAATAAATTAGCATAAATGAGTTACCTAATTTAACCATTACAGAGATTTGCTAATTTAAAACTCAAAAGTTCCTACTAGTAGGATTGGGTAACTCAAATCCATTCCACAATCTGTCTTCCTCACTGTTCTTCACCTCCAAGCTGTGGGACAAAAGTTCAGCCTGCTTGCCACCTTGTATCTTCTGTAACACTGCGGGATGTTGGGTCCTGACTGGCATTTGGAAATCAGAACATCTATCCATTAGACAGGTGTAGCATCTGGATGCCCCATGTGGTAAAGGGGGACTTCATCAATGAAGTTATACAGAGCTAAAGACTAGTTTTGTGGTTTTCCTGTCCTTTCTAATCCAGGGGTTCACCAGTTATGGTTTGTGGGCCAAATACTGCTTGCTGCTCCTTTTTGTATTGCCCTAAGAATGAACTTTATGTTTTCTTTCTTTTCCACTTGCTAGAAAGAGCAAGTTACAAAGAGGGAGAAAAAAAAAATGGGAGAGCTCCTCCCTCTACTTCACTCCCCAGTGCCACAACAACCCAGGCTGGCCAGGTGTCAGGAACTCCACCTGGCTTGCCATTTGGTGGCAGGGCCTGTGCACCTGAGTCACCATTTGCTGTCTCCAAAATGCTCATCAGTGGAAAAATGAACAGGCCGCAGAAGTGATGAACTGCGAGTCTGACAGGAGATGCAGATGTCCCAAGCAGCAGCTTCCACCCATGGTTACTCTCCAGATGGCTGCAACAGACAGTACTGGGCCAGGCCAAAGCCAGAGCCAGGAACTTCTTCTGGGTCTCCCATGTGGGTAAGACTCAGATACTTGGACTCTCTCAGACCATTACTAGGGAGCTGGACTAGAGGTGGAACAACTAGCAAACAAACTGGCTCAAGCACTGCAGGCAGGAATCTAACCTGCAAAGCTACAACACTTCCACTAGAGCTTCCCTCTGAATTAGTGTTATCATTTTCATGTTCCTCTTTTCTAATGAAAACATTAATATTATTTTCATAATTTTAAAAAATGGCCTAAGCTGCTTCCATAAAACAGGCAAGTTAAGGACCCACAAAATTGTTCTTTAAGCATTCTACTATGGACCCACTTTTCTAGTAAGATTTTCATTTTTCTTATTTTTAATCACTGCATTTTCACATAACTGTTACTTACCACATTCTCCTGGATCTGACAGTTGGATACAGAGATGCTGGTAGACAAATCTTCTGTAAGATACAGGAGTGAATACTGGGGTGAGGAAAGGCCAAAGTTATCACTCTATAACTTAATACTATTATGTAATGACATACAAGGGCCATGGTACATCAAAACTAAAAGCAGCTTAACATGTACATTAAAAATATCTACATATACAAATAATTCATCAATAAGAAAACTGGTAAGTACAGTGGGATACTATATAAGTATGTAATAAATAATATTTCACTGATTTTAAAAGGTACATACTAGGGTAGCATTTAAATTAAAAGCAAAATTATGGTTATTTCTGGAAAGTAGGAGAAATGGGGCTTGCGAACTTGTGCGTTAAGCTGTTTTTTCCTTTATTTACTTGACAGTAAGCAAGCAGGCAGATAAGACGGAAGTCGTAAAGTGTGTATACTCCCAACTGGGACAGAGTCAGGCAGAACCAGGAGTTGGAAGCGCAGTCCAAGTCTAGAACCAGGGCGGCAGGAATCTGGAGTCGGGCTGGGAACTCAGAGTTCCTTCAGTAAGGAACAGTTATCTGATCCACTAGGCTAAATGCTTGCTCCTACATATTAACTTTTTCACTTCTTTACTGCTTCCCTTACATAAATGGTAAACCAGTATATACTAACTTTGAAATATATCTGCTGTGCATTAAATAGTGTATAAGAAGCAAGTTGTAAACAAGTTTACAGAGTTATCACCCCACTTTTTAAAACAACAACAAAAAAAAACAATACGGCAGGTGGTAAAAAAGGCTTTGCTTCCACCAAGTCTTTCCCAAACCAAGAGTATACATCAAACCATAGATAATGGTTTACAGTGAGGAGATTTAATATCAGGGATTTCTATGAAGTTTAAATTTTTGTATTACTTTGATAAGCAAAGAAAGTAACTGACAGGAAAAAATTAAAAAGGAAAACATGAAAGAAAACAAGGTAACAGTAAACAAATATCCAGAATCATGAAGACACACAAACAAGTTTCTATATCCTCAAATATGAAACCATAAAGCTTCACCAATCCCAAAAAAGCTTCATCAATAACAAGATGTAAGCAAATTATATAAACATAAGTAACATTACTTTTAAAAACTCTTAAAATATTCAGATAATTTTAAATAATTCAAATTTTAAATATTAATGACCAAGAAAAGGATCAATGACAAATACATCTTAAACCATGCTTTTTAGTAATTCCAGTTCTCTGCTGGTTTGAGCTGATTGTCGTGTCCCCCTTGTGCATCTGGGCAAGCTGTCACTGCACAGGCATCAGAAACTAAGGAGGCCCAGTCCTGACACATGCACACCGAGGTCTGACCACACATCCTGTGATTTTCTCTGGGGTTGGGTCCGAGTCCAGTGGTCTAGTTGGGGAGTCCCCCAAGAAACCTCGCCTGGAGTGACCTCAGACTTGATTCCACCATGCACCACCCTCTGCAGGATTAGGTTTGACCTGTCACTAGCACCAGAAGATGGTAGATGCGGCTGCCTTGTGAGTTCCACCCCAGCCCCATATCTCACATGAATCTGTTGATGCCATGGTGTAGTCATGGCAACCACCAATAATTCCCACCAGGCCTACCCTTACGCCCTATTTAAGTGTGTGCCAGCTCTGCTTAGTTCGGCCCAGTCTGCATCCCATCTGGCATTTATGCATAACCATGGATATTGTGACTTATCTCAGCCTGACCCTCTCTTAAACATGACCCTCACAATTCAACAGGTGCAGCTGCTTTGTCCAGGCTGGCCACCCTTAGCCATTGTGCTCACCAGCAGTAGATAAAGCCCAGCAGGAGAGTGCCCACAGATCAACTGCTATGCATGCTCCCAGCTCTGGATGTTGCACTTGCCAGGGTGGTACAGTGGTCCACCATGACATGACTTGCACCCAGTCCTGGCACCTGCCAGGTGGTGCTGCAGTCTAGTCTGGCTGTTCCATATTCATTATAGCTCTCATGCTCACCAGCAGAAGCAGCAGCCCAGCAAAGGAGTCTCCACAGTTACTCCCTGCTCCAGTCCTTGTACATGCCAGTAGTTGCTGTGGCCCAGTCTGAGATGGTCCATCCCAATCTTGGCATTTGCCAGCAGGTGCTACAGCCTGACTCAGCCGGGGCAATCCCCACTGTAAGCTCTCACTGGCACCTGCAGCTGCCTAGCCCAGATTGGTCCAGCCCCAGCCTTTATGTGAACTAGTGGGTATTACAGTCCAACCTGGCCTGCACCTCATCCTGGCTCTCACTCGTGCCACTGTGTGTTATGGGCTGATCCTTCTTGGCCTGCCCACATCCCTCTCAGTCAATTTTAAGAACCAAACATGTACATGGTTGGGAATCTTGTGTTTTTGATCATACTTGTCTCTCAGAGTAAACATTACTCTCCACTTCCCCTATGTAGTGCTTCCCATGCTGTTCTTACCTGAAGTGTGTAAGGTTCAATCAGTTTCCTAGGAAGACTATGCCTATTTTTTCTATACATATCTGAGTTTCTTGAAAATAGTTTTCATTTCTACATTACTAATTTATGCTACCACATAACATTAACTCATGCAAGTCATGCTTCCTTAAATGATCTGTAATATTTCTTTTGTATTCTAGCCCAGTGCCTAGCATGGTGCTGAGAGCTATTGTACAACACAACTAAACTGAAATAAATAGTAATTAGAAATCGCATGACACTTATTTCAACTTAAATACAGTTGCCTAATTAATGATGTTTCCCCATAAACAACATAATGCCAGTAGGGAAAGAAGTGGTATCACATTTTAATCACATTTAGGTTTAATAAATTTTGTTAGTGCATAATATGGATTTTAACAGCTGATATTTCTGAATATCTTAATTAAAAGAAATCCAGCATTTCTGAACTTGCATTTCGTAACTATGATGTAAACTTCAACACTTTATTACTTGTTTATATTCTACCACGCAGCAAATACTAATATGTATGCCAAGTATGTTTTATACATTGGTATGCTTTCACTTGATACTATGGACCCGATGCAGGAGACACCTGTGACAGACAGGAACTTGAGGATCACAGAGCTGGCTGCTGGACTGAGGACTCCAATGTGGGGAGGCTGCCGCTAAAGCCTGCCTAACTCTGGACACTGCAGTGTTTGTGCTAGTTTTAACATATGTAATTTTGTAAAGGAATTAGTAACAATACTGACTACTAAAGACAAAGTTTTAGATAAGCATTAAAAGGATACAAAGGAACACAATCACACGTATACAATATTTAAGAACCAAAGAGGGGAAAAACTTGTTGCTTACTGTGATCATTCCCTTGTCCTGGAGAAGTGCAAACACTTGTCTGAGGCGTAACAGGCATGAGGGCCTGGCGAATTGCTTTTTCCCAGCTCTGAGCTACATCAAGCCCAACTCCAGTGGCAGCAAGTATGGGATTGTGAGAACTGTCCCCATTATTCTCACCAACAAAGTACACCATGGTATCAGTGATGATTTCAAAACAGTGTGGATTGCTGCCTTGAGAAATATTTGTGAAATCTTGTGGAGAAGATACACGGAGAATTTCTGAAAGTGGAATTTCCTAAAGCAGAAAAATTAAAGCACTGAAAAAATGAACACATTTTCATTTTTATATACCCACTAGAGAATCAAAAGTACGTATTTTTATGGATGCCATCAGGAGAAACACACATGAGTGGTAAATGGAACAAAAGTCAGTTCTTAGTAACAGTCTTTCCTTGAATGGTCTGCCTGTCTATAATGCCAGAAGAAAAACAATTAGTGTGACAACTAAGACCTGCTTCAGGACTGTAGCTGGTCAACAGGAAGGTCATTTGCCATTGTATCCAATACCTGTCACTTTTACTTGTCATTAAATCAACTCAACAGCTGCTTCTGTAGTGGCTGCCATCTAGATACAGTCCCTGAAGCATGAAGTCACAGAAACAATGGCAGAAAAAGCAGAATACTGGGTCAGTTTGAGTTAGAAGTTGCTCAAGTTGCTCACACACTCCCTCTTAGTTCTGCCCACTGAGTAAATAGTGATCTCTTAGATTTAGTCCACTTCCTATGGATAAAATGACAACCATGGGCAGTGCTATAACATAGTAAGCAAAATCACTATTTGTGATGCCAGCACCCAATATGGACGCTGGTTTATGTCTGAGAAAAGCAAGGAAAGATGTTCCAAAAGCTTGGGTCCCTGCTACCGATGTGGTGGAATACAATGAAGTTCCTGGCTTCTGCCTGTCCCAGCAGCTGGAAGATCTCTCTTTCCAAGAAATAATCTTCAAGCAAGCAAGTAAGCAAGTAAATTAAAAAACCAACCAGCTCAAAGCAAGTCATTAGTGCTCAGCCTCTTTCTACCTGATCTAACTGCTGTATTTATAATCTTCTTTGCAGTTAAACCATGATGTGGCAAAATGCGGGGTAAGCACAACTATACCAAGACGCAAAATAAGCAACTGGGATATGCAGCCTAAGGTAATGTGGAAGCTGGGAGAAATACCAAATACTTCACTGTTCTCTTCTGACAGGCAATAATCAGGGGACTTTGTCAGCAGTCTAATCCATATCACAACATCCAGAAAAAAAACATCAGCAACCCAATTACAAGGCCACACACACATAGCAACAAATTACCACTGGTAGCAAGTCAGCTCTGTGGGACGTGATGGAAGAATGGTGACAGATGCTTCAACAAGGACTTCGAGAGTGATTTTCATATATGAGGTCAGAGTCATAAAAAGGCATGTGCAAGTATAACAGTGAAGACTATTTGTATACTTTGAAGAACACATAGTATTGTATTATCTATTTTTCAATGTGAAGGTCTTACCTTATAGTACTTCGATCCTGATTCATTCTGAAATAGTGTTAGACATTTGCTGTCAAGTCTCCAGTAATGCCTTTTTCTCTAACAACAACAAAAAAAAAAACACAAGAAAGCTTGTGAGGTAAAGAAAATGATGATCCTTCAACGCTCTTGTACTTATCTTTCATTTTTATTTGCAAATTTGTATTTTTGCATAGTTTTGAAACTTATGAAGTTCAAAATAATCAAAATACAAATATAAAGAGGGCGTACAGTGAAAGCATCACACCCACTCCTTATCCTCACTGTGAGCATGCAATGTTATGGCAGTGAATCTGGAGAATCCTTTCAGAGAATTTTATGCATGTACACAGAAATATTATGGCACCTGAAAGTTCTTGGAAAAATGGAATTAAAAGTTAAAGTCTATTTTGGTTCAAAAACATTTTGAAATCAATGTTTTTCACAATACATAATTTCATCAGCCCCATTTTAAAATTCCATCTCTAAGAACTTTTTGAAGTACTCAACATGAATTATATACACATATACCTACAGACATAATTTATCCGTAGGTTAAATGTCTACAGATTGACCAGCTGGTAAAAAGACATTTATATTTCCTTTTGTTGTGAACCCTGTTCTTATTCTGTGCCCATTTCTCTTCCCTGTTGTAAGATTTTTTCTGATCAGTTTATTGGTATTCTTTCCATTTTATGCAATTAACTCTTGTTTAGAATATCACATTGGGGGCTGGCATTACAGCTTAGTGCACCAAGTGATGCCAGCATTTTAAATAGTTGCTGGTTCGTGTCCTGGCTGTTCCATTTTTTACCTAGCTTCCTGTTAATGGCCTGGAAATGTAGTAGAATATGGCTCAAATGAGTCTGCTCCTTCCACCTACACAGGGGACCCAGAAGAAGATCCTGCCTCCTGGCTTCAGGCTGGCCTAGTGCTGGCTACTTAAATCATCTGAAGAGTAATGCAGCCAATGGAAGCGCATGCAGCCTCTCTTTCCCAAGTAAATACACACATCTTTAGAAAAAAAGAATTTAACATTTTTTCTTTGGGTGTCTAATAGAATTTGTTATTTTTACTGGAATATTTCTGTATAGGAGAGAAAGATCTTCCATCCACTGTTCACTCTCCAACTGGCTGCAACAGCTTGAGCTAAGCTGATCTGAAGCCAAGAGCCAGGAACTTCTTGTCTCCCACACTGGTGCAAGCTCCCAAGAACTTGGGCTGTCCTCCACTGCTTCCCCAAATCACAAGCAGGGAGCTGGATGGGAAGTGGAGCAGCCAGGACACAAACTGGTGCCCATGCAGGATGCTGCACTTAATGATTGAGGATTAGCCAGTTGGGCCAACGTGCTGCCCTCATAGAAATTTTTTTAAATATCAAAATGCATTTTATTCTGGACCTCTTTTATATCTGATCCAAATTAAGTTGTCAAAGTAATACAATGCAAAGGGAAACTCCAATATCAATGAAAAAAAGTGCCTGAAAGGATAAAAGGGTCATAGGACATACCATTGTGATGTAGAAGCAAAATATATCATAAGTGTAATTAACATGGTCCAGGACAGCATAGAATATCTATGTCAATCTTCCTTATACAGTAATCAAGGAAACTAACAATAAAGCTCTTGAAAATATGTACAAAAAACTGTCATGAACTGGGTTACATACTTTTACAACAGTTTTAAAGTTCACTGGATAACTACAGAAATGATGCAGACACTTTAATTCAGTGCTATAGGCAGGCTCACAGAATTAGACCCAAAGCATTTGTAAAAATAAAAATTAAAACATTACAGCCACAGTATCAAAGTGGGCAAAGAAAAGTAATTCTGTATTCAAGGATTACAGAGCTATAAAATGCAGTCTCTCTGTGTGTGATGGATAATTACATTAGACTAGCTTCAACATGCCAAATGTTTTCTTCAACTTATCTAGAAATGCCAAAGGAAACATCATAAAACAGCTTACAAAGAAAAAAAAGCCCTACTTATTCCTCTAGCTTCAATTCAACACTGTCAACACAAAGGCAAAAATAAAGAATACTAGCAATTCCATATGACTACTAAATCAGTGTTAAAGTGATTGAACTTATTCATATTAGTTCTCATTGGAAGTTAATAAGATTAGTCTTTCAAAGTTCATTCTGCTGATTTGTTTACTTTTTAAAATTATTTAGAGTTATTACATGTGAAGTACAGGGGTATATATACAACCATTTTTCCCCCACATGTTCAAATGATTGTTAATTTTGTCCTAATATTATTCCAATATTACTGAATTTCCTATCTCTCTGCTCAATTGGTATAGTATCTTTGATATACTACTGACTTATTGTATATACACCACTTCATGTGCCATAAAAAAAAAAAAACAACCAAAACAACCAGACTATGCTGTCGCTAACATGTAAAACTTGAGCCAACAAATGTTCTGGGTATTTCATCTTTTTACGTACTCTTTTTTATGCCAATTGTAGATGAGGAAGCTAAGATATAAAAAAATTAAGTCCCCTTTTCAAGTCCACAGGTTTTGTAAGTTTTAGATTAGACAGACTACTTGGAAAGGCTATGTTCTCAATGACTATACTATGCTGATCTTCTTATCTGTGCACTGTTCCTCTTGTTTTAGCATGTTTACACCAAGTTAAAGTCTACATAAAAACAAAGAATTCCAATCTTTGTTGATTTAAGAACACTTGTCACATGAAGTTCTAATTCCTCCTATCCTATAGGTATCTCATTATATTGTGAGATACTGCTGTTTACTGTGGCACAATCCCAGATCCTTTAGAATCCCAGCTACTCAAAATAAATTAAATATTCTAACTTTTAAGAATTTTTTTACTGGGGCACAGCTAGTGGTTAAGATACCCATACCTCACACTGGAATATCTGGGATTAATTCCCTGACACTAGCTCACTTCCAGTTTCCAGATAATGCTTGCCTGGGAAGGAGGTGGCAATGGTTTTAACAGCTGGATTTCTTCCACCCATGTGGGAGACCCACAATGAATTCCCACTGTGGACAATTTGGGGAACAAGCCAGTGGATGACTCACTCTTTCAAATAAATAAATACTTCAAAAATTTTAAAATGTTAATTCTAACTCCAGTGTAATTTTATACAGTGCTGTAGTACACACAATGTCTTTATCTCATCCTTATATTTATTTATTTTTTTAAATGCATAAGTAAGACTCATAACAAAGGCTTATTAGCATATTAAGATGTACGGCTTACTGACCAGGTTGTCCCTGCTGGTGTAATGGACCATCCACCCTTCCTTCACCATTGTGCTGCTCTTCCTCTTTGTGTGCTTGATGGACTGTACAACCCTCATTAGAGGAATGTTATTGCTTGTTGATGGACTAAAAAATATTTAAAATGTAGTATAAATATTTACCATCTTAAAAAGTCATTTAAATACTGCAGTCTCACCAATCTTTTTTAAAGACAAATACTAGCTTAAGAAGAAAATGAATTAATCCTATTATGAGACATAGTTGATTTACCAAAGCCTAAGGTAATATAACAAATCCTCTTTACTTGTTATGGCTGTTTTCTGGAAGACCACATATGAATAGGAAGACGAGAGGCAATGCACAGAGAATCCTCCCCAACTGGAAGGTCTGGAGTCTAGAGGGTCTCATTTGGGTTTGCTATTGAGCTTTCCTAGCTGAGTGTGCATAATAAATTAGCAAATTCATTAAGAGGAAAAATAAAGTATAAGGGTACTTCAGAAATTCCATGAAAAATGGGAGATAATGGTCATTTCCAACAAACTTTATCAAGAACCCTTGTATATATAAATTCAAATTCATGTGGCTTGGATGTTAAATCTAGTTGGTACAGTAACTAGCAAAAGGTACTTCTGATATAAGATATTTAAAGGAAAAATTACTTGTAGGTATAAGGAAAATTTAAAAGAACCCTCAAATAATGTGATGAGTCAAATTACGTGGTACTGAAATACAGATCCTTAAAAGTAGGTAGAGCAAATGTTAACTGGGTATGTATGTGTAAAATATGCAATTTATCAACTTCAGTCTCAAATAGTTCAAACCTGCTCTGAAACTCTGAAGTATTATGATTAGGAAACTAGGTTTGGTGATTGTATCCAAACTAGGTAAAAAAATCAAGTTATCATTACATTCTCAGAGTCTATTCTCAGCTGCTGTTTCTGTCATCAGATCATCTGCCTGTATGAAGCCAGCTGGTGGATTTCAGCGATGATTCCATGCTGGCACCTTGTGGTGGCTGCTCCACAACTGTGTACTGTAGTTACACTGTGCCCAAATGAAGGAGTATACTTTTAAGAAGAAAAATTGTACCTTCTCATTCTGAAGAGGTGGCATGGGTAATATTATTTCAGAAATATTATAGTGCACATAAAAGAATAAGTCATAGTTTATTAAGACTTTAGATTATATTTGAGGTTCTACATGAAAGAGATGTTACTTTTTCTTAATCAAGATCCTAAACTGACCTTTCTGTCCTTGTGATATAACTTGCAATAGCTGTGCAAACTATTACCTGATTGTTTTAACAGCTTCCTCATCTCTTTCCACATCAAGATCAGATGGATCCAGGAAGAACATTTTGTCTTCTGGTGGAGATGGCTCTTCTGTGTCATCCAGGCCCCGGTTACCATCACTATTTATGTCATTACTGTCAATGTCCATTGGCATATCTGTATCTGTCCCCAAATTGGAAGGTTCTGACAAAGTTGTAAATTAATTTCAAAGCTTTATGTTAGTGGATATCAATACATTTATTACTATGTGTAAAAAGTTTTAAACTGTCAAAATTTTCATAGCTCAACATTTCTAATAGTAGGTCTCTACCCAAGTGAAATGAAAACCTACTTCTACAGAGAAAGTATGTTTTTGTGTTCACAGTAGCATTATTCACTGACAGACTCATCAAACTGCAGTGACAAGTATAGGGGTCAATAAAATGTAGTATGCCCCTGCAGAAAATTGTCATTATAAAAACAATGAAATCTTTAAATGTGCTGCATTATGGAAGAACTCTGAAAATGTTCCAGTAAGTGAAAGAAGCTCTAGGCACACAATACAACAAATTATATAATTCACTTACAAAATGCCAGAAAGAGACAAACACACAGAAATACAGTTGATTAGTAGCTACTGGAAAGAATAGGAAGTAACTACTAGTGAATATTGAAATGGTTCCAGGTAATAAAAACATTCTAATGGATATGTAACTTAGCAAAATCCTGAAATGGGTAAATTTTAAGGTATGCAGATTATATCAATAAAGTTGCTAAAACTTAATACTGCTGAAAATAGGCCCAGTGGAGTTTCTATGCCCATTCCATCACGTGAGAAAGCAGCTGTAAGGCACCATGTATGGATGAGACAGACCCTCAGACTCAAACCTGCTGGCACCTTAAGGTGTCTGAGTCTCTGAAACTAGGAGACTCCTGTCCCAGCTCTTCCATTTACTGGGTATATTCCTTGGACAAGTCTAAGTGTCTCCGTTTATCAATCACTTAGTATATGCCCCAAAGAAATGTTTAGGATAACTGTCTACAGAACAGTGCCTGATATAGTAAGCAGTCAATAAACATGAAAAGGTATGACACCAGGGGGTAACACCATCCTCTGATGTGTAAGGGTAGAAGACAGGCAGCACGACTGACTGTACTAGACTTTATAAAGTCTAGGTGACTAGAGGAAAGATAGGAAGGCATAATTACTAACCAGTGTATCTCATCACTGGTCTCTGCAGTTTGGTTAGTTATTAAGTCAGAGAAACATGGTTAAAAAAAAAAACTAAATATAACCTGAGGCAAAGATAATACACAAGGTATACCTCCATTGAAAGTAACTTCTCCAAAGCAGTCTCTTGGTACTTTCGATGCACAGCGTTTATGGCAGTTAAATTTGCAATCTAAAACGAGAATATTTGACTTATCAACTTATGTAAAAAGTCCAGCAATATCAAGCATGCTTACACTTTAATCAATCAGAAATGGAATATTATTAGTAAATGGTGATGAAGATATTAGTCTTCCTATACTGAGAACTCTACTGAGTCTTAGACTAAAGGTGTGGTTTCAAACTCCAGTGGACCTTCCTACCTTTAGTTAGTTAACTGAGAGAGAGGTCAGCCATCCACTGGCTTACTCCCCGATGCTGGAGTGGCAGGGACTGAATCAATGCAGGCTTCCCAAGCGGCTGGCTGCTGCCTGACTACCTGAGGCATCACCAGTGCTTTCCCATGCTATATACTTACCAGGAAGTAGGAGTCAGGTGCCGAGGCTGGGTTGTAAACCCAGGGACCCTGATTTTCTGGGATGCAAAAATTACTAAATTAACCACTAAGTTATTTTTTCTTTCTTAGCCAGATGAATGAAAATGTGACTCTTCTGCATTTTAAGTATCTTAATGCATATCATAAAATCTAATAATCAGGGCCCAGCACAGTAGCCTAGTGGCTAAAGTCCTTGCCTTACAAACGCCAGGGTCCCATAAGGGCTCCAGATAATATCCCAGCGACCTCACTTCCCATCTGCTCCCTGCTTGTGGCCTGGGAAGGCAGTCAAGGACAGCCCAAAGCCTTGGGATCCTGCACCCATGTGGGAGACCTGGAGGAGACGCTGGGCTCCTGACTTCGGACTGGCACAACTTTGGTCATTGCAGCCGCTTGGGGAGTAAAACAATGAATCTCTCTCCTCCTTTCTGTATATCTCACTTTCTAATAAAGTAAAAATTCAGAAAATTGTGATAATCAGAATTATATTTATATTGATAACTGAAATAGTCTAGCTAATCGGAAATATAATCTGCCACATTCTGAAACATTAAGTACAATACACTTTCCCTTTAGAATTCGAAAAGTTAAACTACTAACAGTGGCAGAGTTAACAGACTTCATTAAAACACTCCATAAAATACATATCTATTTTAGTTCTTCTACAAAATGATGTACTTTTTTGCATGTGGTTTTTGGTCTCTGTTTTCTTTGCGGAGTAAAACTATTAACTATCATTACTAAGATGATTTGTTGGCTAAAATTTGTGCATTTGTTATTAACGTTCTTTCCCAAAATATTTCCCTGTGGTTGTTTGCCAACCCACTTTCGTGTTTGTATTTCAAAGTATTATATATTAACTTACATTCAAAAAGAGCTGATGAGATATAACTTTAACCTTTAATTATGCATGCCTGATAGATACTAAATAGCTGAGAATAAACGGACAATTTGCTTTCCGGGTAGTGTTCTCATATGCTGTCATCCATTGTCAAGGAAAGCTTTTTCTTAAGCCTTCAAGTTAAATTCATTCATAATTATCGTACTCTGTGTTAAAAGCAAGGATTTATTGTTGCAAACACCTTAATGCTTATCACTTGAAAATTCAGCTGCACAAGTACTTCTACCATATTGAAACAAAAGCAGATTATCAAGAACTGTTAGAGAAATCACACGAGAAAAAAGCATGTAAGATTACGATTAGACCAGTTCTACCCTATCTTGGCTTAACGCAAAAAGCCTAAGACACCGCGGTTGAAATGCAATTTCAAGAACTGAAATTGAATCATCTTTACAAAGCATAAAAGTATCACGTATGTGTAAGGAAAAGTATTCTGTTATTCCACTAAAACTGTTACTTCACTGGGAACGTTCTGGGAATGGTGTACTGGGTCAGTAACCAAATAAAAGTAGTCCTTATTCTAATTCCAGTGGCTTTTACTACAATCCTACCAATTTCAGTGTGATTGTTCTATGGAATAACAATATTTGCACAAAGAGGAAAGTATTTCTATTATTTCCTGTTCTGGAATCAGATGTAAACTCAACTATCAGCTTTGCTGCTTACTGTTCCATATTGTAGTACTAAGCTGGACTTGGCTCACAAACCCAAATTCTAGTTTTTCTGTTTACTGTTATGTGATTTTAGGTTATATTTCACATATGGGTAGATGCCTTCAAGACTGAGTATGGAAAGTTGTTTTTGTTTTTTAAATATAATGTTTAGGACACAGTATACACACTGCAGACAGCTGTAGTTAGTATTCATACATATTTTTACATGCACATTCTTTTTCTTTTCCACGTTAACTACGGAATGATTCTCTGGCAAATGCTTTTGATGTTTGCATAGTTTAAGCATATATTTGCTAACAAAAACAGTAAGGAAAGCATCCAAGCCTACCTTTACACTGCATTCCTTGACGGAAAAGTCCTTTCAGTAGCCGCTTGCAGTACTGACATATTGTGGGACGGCCGTACGAGTGAACAGCGAATGTGTGGGGGACTTTCACTCTGCACATCACCATCTTCTCCATCCAGATCGGACGGCCACTCCAAGAAGGGATTCTCTTACTTGGTTCTGGAACATGTGACTAAAATGTGAGTTATTTCGGTAAGTATGTTAACATGAAACCTGATGTCCTGGGCAGCAAAGCTTTACTACAACAGACCTTTTTGTGAAACACTAAGCCCACAGTCCAGAAACATCATCTCAGTAGTCTTTTTTTGAAAGCTTAATCTAGTAGCCCATCAATGAAAAGTATTGATTTTTAGTGCTATTATTTATGCTAAGAAACAAACACTAAGATTTGTTAATTGTCATATATCCAATGATTAACTATTATTTGCCAGACACACTGAACATGTAAGAACCAAAAGTATTAAAATCAGTTTCTAATATGTTCAAATCCTTCAAAAATTTGACCAAGAAATTAATCACAGATAAAGTAAATAAATTCAGGAAATATTGTGATTGCTCAGGTTGGATTACTGAACACACTTGAAAACATTTTGAAACAAATCTTAGGTTTTCAAATTCTCTTAAAAATAATAAAAGCTATATGTAAAATTGAAGCCCAATTTTGATGCTACAAGTAATTGGATAACAAAGCCAATTAAAAGAATAGAGGGCCTAGTAGTTAGGGTTTAAGAAGTTTCTCCAGGAATTGACACAATGGCTCAATGGCCATCCTTGCCTTACATGTGTCGAGATTCCATACAGGCACAGGTTCATGTCCTAGCTGCTCCACTTCTCATCCAGCTCCCTGCCTGTGGCCTGGGAAAGCAATAGAGGAGGCCCAAAAGCCTTGGGACCTGCACCCACATGGCAGATCCAGAAGAAGCTCCTGGCTCCTGGCTTTGGACTGGCTCAATTCCGGGTGTTGCAACCACTTGGAGAGTGAATCAATGGATGGAAGATCTTTCTCTGTGTATCTCCTTCCCAATAAAATAAATCTTATGAACAAGAAGCAAAATTAAACAAACTAAAATTTTCCATGTAACTTGACAGGTAAGTTGATTTTCTAGCTATTGGTCTTTCTATATAAAAAAGTAATCAAACTAAATTATAGGTTAGTTGAGGTGGCTCACACCATTCGTTCTATCAATATTCAGAGATTAATACATGCATTTATACTAAAAATTGAGAGCCTAAAAATGAATAAAACATCTTCTAAAGCACAAAATTCAAACATCTAACCACTACCTAGATATATTAATAGATTTTTTTGTATTTTCTAGGACTGTCATTGCCAGAACTGAAATTTTGTGATCATGTAGCTGTCTTGTATAAGTATTCATGTTTATAACTCAAAAATTTGAGTTACTGTGTATTGATATGGCTTAATCAATGAAAACAACTGGAATTAGAAGAAATCAAGAGACAGAAATGGAAGGGACGTTAAAGCTAAGAGAAGAAAAAGGAGAAAGAGAACCACAGGAGTCTTAAAACCCAAACCACACTTGTATACTTTGGCTGTCCAAGGTGAGCGTGCCCAGCTAATGATGAAGGCAGCAGGAACAATTCACCCTATTTCTCCATTCTAGTGGTTAATCAACACTATATCTTGCATTTGCGTCTATCACTTTTGGTTTGTCTCAAGTTCAAAACACAGAAGATAAAGCAAGACTGATGAAGCCAGTTGTCACCAAGTGTACTAGGGACATCAGTAATCTCAAAACAGATCACGGCCAGGGCCAATGGCCAATTTGTAACTAACTGCCTGTGGTGAGGTCCTCAAATAATTAATATATTAGGTGATACACTGCACAGTATGTGTGTGTCAGGAAATACTTAGAGAACTGTGACTGTGGCATCACCTACCATGTTCCAAGCAATAGCTATTTGCGTGTCACCCTTGCGCAGGGGCCATGCTAATCTTCTCTGTATCATTCCAATTTTAGTATATGTGCTGCCAAAGGAAGCACAGCAATAGCTATTTGTATCATTAAGAAAAAATTGACTCAAAGTGATTAATACTACCATGGGTACTATTAGAATCAAGACTTGAACTCAAACTTAGGGCTTTTCACAACAAAAACTAATGATTCTTAACATTTTCCCCACCCTCTTTGGGTTTATAAACCAGTCTGATCAGTAAACAATGGTTTATCACTCAACTGGGTAAAGAAGGCGGCAATGGCATAGGAGAATCTGGCTAAGAAAGGAGACCACTGAGAAATCAGAAACTAGAATCAGGTGAAAGTTCTTTTCTTAACTTGTATTGTTCCCTGCTTACAAATCAAGGCTGAGTTGTAAAACTATGATTTCTTCCTTAATAATGTTTTATTTGCTTCTTGACCTTTTGGCTAAAATCAAGTGTAATAAAGCGTAATAGTAATCTGATTTCAACCAGAGTCAGGTTCAAGTTAACACCTGCCAAGGTACCAACACTTGTCAACCAAAAAAACCCTGCGGCAACACTTCTGATTCAATCATGTACATTAATAAAATAAATGAAAGTATCTTAAAATCTTGTAAGTCTTTATTAATAAATATCTAACTAGTTGGCTATAATATTTAGCAAAGCACAATCTCCATTTTGCATGTCCATTTAGTCCTAGCTTGATTTTGTCTTGTCCTCAGAAGTTTCTTAGTATTGTATGGAACATTTATGAACAATTTCTTCTATTCTTCTAACTTTATCTGAATCCCCTTAGATGGACTTACATTGTATTCATTATTAAGTTACCTAGATATGCTTCAGAATGTGTGCATGTGTGTATGATACATGAGAGTTATATGCAAAGACTTCACCATTTCATTAACATTACATTAATTTCTTAAAGATTCCTCTATTTTGTTTGAAAGACAGTGACAGAGAAGGAAAAAGATCTTTCACCCACTCTTTCACTATCCAAATAGCTATCAATAACCAAGTCTAGACCAAATTCAATTAATCAGAAACTCTATCTGGTTCTTCCATGGGTGGCAGGAGGCTTAGCACATGGGCCATTGCCTGCTACATTCTCAGGTACATTAAGAAAAATCTCAGTTGGAAGCAGAACACCTGGAACTTGGACTGATATGCCAATATGAAATGACAGAATAGCAAATAGTGACTTAATACACTGTGCCTCAAGACTGGCACCCATTTTACTTCTTAAATATTTATTTTCATGTACTTGAAAAACAGAGCAAGGAGTAAAAGTTGATGGAATAGGGTGAGGACAGGTTTAAACAGATGGAGAATTATCAGCCAGGATGAAGTGGAGAGGGCCCAGCCCCAGAAAACAGGAGAGGACAGGCCAATGGCAGAGGGACACCTGGAAACCTGTGGACAAAGGGAAGCAGCAGAGACAGTGAACTGAACTGGGGTTGCAGTGAACAGAGGTGGCTGGCAATTGGGGCTCTGCTGGCAGCCACGTGGGCAGTTCACTGGGAACTCAGGGGGTAAACCCAGGCAAAGAACTGCCCATTCTGCAGAACTGCTTAATCCCAACAAGAGAAGAAGCAGAGTGCAAGGCAGGCAGGTAAAGGAACAGAGAGGATTTCACAGCCCAGACTGTCACCAATGCCACATCAGGTCCTGTTTTGTATACTAGGACAAAAGTCAGCTGGGCATGTGCTCAGCCAGGAGGGAACTCATTTCTGGCTCAGCACATTGCACTGGTCCCAATGGTCCCACAGGGAAAGCAGTAATGACACAGCGAAGCATCCTACAAGTTTCACCCAAAATAAGTGACTTAAAAGCCAGCAGGCCCAGACTATCACCAGTACCACATCGGGCGCCATTTTCTCTACTGGGGAAAAGGCTGTGGGAATGAGGGAACCACAATGAGAGGCAACCACAATGAGCTCCACAAGTTCTGAAACAGGAGAGAACTCACTTTCGGCTAAAATGCATTGCACTAGACTCACAGGGAAAATGGAACCAAATTGGTCTCCTGCAGGTTCCACATAAAATAGGTCTAGCTGGACCTCAGACGTAACAGCCTTCAAGACCAACAACACCAGCAAGACCAACACCACTAACAACCCAGTAAGTGAGGATAGCTGGTGTCTCCTAAATTTCAGTTTAAAAGGTTGTGGAGGCAATGATGTGGCCACAGCATGGGATTATGGGGTAGACAGTGGTGAACAGGAAGCTGGGGCTATGGAGAATGGAGGAAGCCTAACTAAAGAGCCGAGACTGAAACTCACTGGAGGGAGTGGCACAAGTGATTGTAAATGAAGAACAGGAACCAAACACAATTAGTAAAATTGACCTGTTGACCTGTGGGCAACACAGCTTAGAAACCAGCCTTATGGAGAAGAATATGCTAACCAGAATTGCAATAACAAAGAGAAAAAGAACAGACAGAGGCACAATGAACATTACTGATGCCTCCCCCACAAAGGAACAAAAACCTGTCACCCTCAAAGTTAACTGAGGAAGACATCGAGAATATGAGGGATAAAGAACTTCAAAAACTAATAATAAAACTTTTAAAAAAAGAGTTATTTATTTTTATTGGAGTCAGATATATGGAGAGGAGGAGAGACATAGAGGAAGACCTTCTGTTCACTGACTCACTCCCCATGTGGCCACAATGGTCAAAATGAGCTGATCCAAAGCCAAGAAACTTCTTCCGGGTCTCCCAAGTGGGTGCAGGGTCCCAAAGTTTTGGGCTGTCCTCAACTGCTTTCCCAACCACAAGCAGGGAGCAGGATGGGAAGCAGGACGGCCAGGACACAAACCAGTGCTCAAATGGGATCCTGGTGCACGCAAGGAGAGGACTTCAGCAACTAGGTACCGTACCAGGCCCTATAAAGCTTTTTAACAACAAAAACCACATATAGGAGTCGAAGAAATGTCACACAGGTAGTAGTAACAAGTAATCAAGTAAAAGCTGATAGACTAGAAATTAGGAGTGATTTTGTCATGCTTGGAATGGCGAGACTGGCAGTAATTCAGAATTGTTGAACTATCTAAACCTCTTGAGCAGGACCCTCAAAGCATATCCCGCTTTGGGGTCCCTGGGGTGGTGCTCAGTGGCTGTCCTTCATCCCAGGACGCAGAGGCTTTTGTGAGGGTGGATGTGGCTTCTCTGCTTGCTCCACAACTCTTCTCCAGATACAGGAAAGAAAGAAAAGAGAATGTGGAAATGGCGATCTCACCCACCTTCCTGTAGCCCTTGACCCTTACCACACCAATCAACTACAATAAAAAATAAATATAATTAATTTAAAAAGAGAAAAAATGAAATTAAGAGCACAATGGGGCAAATTAAAAATTCAGTGGAAAGTCTCAATAATCGAATAAATGAGGCAGAAGACAGAATCTTAAAATTGGAAGTCATTTCTTGACACAATGAGGAAACAATCGAAAAGCTGGAAAAGCAACTGAGTAAAGCAAAGTATTCAAGAATTAAAGGATACTACTAAAAGGCTGAATATGGGGCCTGGCATGACGATCTAGTGGTTAAAGTCCCTGCTTTGAATACACCAGGTTCCCATACTGGCGCCAGTTCTAATCCCAGCAGCTCCACTTCCCATCCAGCTCCCTGTTTGTGGCCTGGGAAAGCAGTCGAGGATGGCCCAAAGCCTTGGGACTCTAAACTCGCATGGAGACCTGGAGGAAGTTCCTGGCTCCTAGTTTTGGACTGGCGCAGCACCCACCGTTGTGGTCACTTGGGGAGTGAATCATCGGACAGAAGATCTTACTCTATATACCTGATTTTGTAATAATCATAAATAAATCTTCGAAAATTTTTTAAAGAGGCTGAATATAAGTGTTATGGGAGTTCCAGAAGTGCAGAAAGAGAAGCTGGGTGTAAAGGTGTAGTCAAAAAACTCAGTGGCTGAGAAAGAATTCATATACAGTCCCTTAAAAACAGGAGAGAGATTTTAAAATAGCTTGGAATTAACCTAACAAAAGATGTGGAAGACTGCTATGATGAAAATTATAAAACACTGTACAGAAAAATAGAAGATATTAAAATATAGAGAAACTTACCAAAATTTTGCATTGGTAGGATCAACATTATCAAAACATCCATGTTACCAAAAGTAATATGCAAATTCATTAATTAATTTTAAAAAGAAAAAAACAAAAATAGAGCAACAATGACAACATAAGATCGTTCATCTGTTGATTCTCTCCCCCAAATGCCTACAAAGCCAGGGCTGGGTCCGACGAAGTCAGGATCTGTGAACTCATTCTCCATTACCTGTGTGACTGGCAAGGAACCAAGCACTGGAGCCGGCACTTGCTGCCACTCAGGGTGTGTCAGTGAGAAGCTGGCTAAGAAGAAGAGTAACTTAGACTTGCTCTGGCACGCTGACATGGGATGCAGTTACCGCCTATTAAAGTACAGCTGCTCCTAGGATACCTCTTCATCACACCGTTTATACAACGCACTTTAAGCATCCACAGGTTCTGCCATTTGGAGAGCACTCCAGAACCAACTTCTTGGGGATACTGAGGGATTACTGCAAATCATTTGTTCTGTCCTTCTGCTATCTGGTAATGTTGTAGTAATTACCTGGGGGGTGGCATTGTGGCACTGTTGGTAAAGCAGCTGCCTGCAATGCCAGCATCCCCATGGGGGCTAGTTCAGGTCCTGGCTGCTCCACTCATGATCCCCTCGATAATGGTCTGGGAAAGCAGCGGTGACACCCACATGGGAGACTTGAATAAAGCTCGTGATTGTGGTCTGGCCCAGCCCTGGCCATTGCAGCCACCTGCGTGTAAATCAGTGGATGAAAGAACCTCTCCTTCCCTCCCTTTCACTTTTTCAAATGAAAGCTGCATTAATAAATAAACATAAAAAGAAAATCTTGGGGAACCTGGCATGCCATTATCAGTCATTTTTAGAGCTCTTTTTTTCCCCCTTGGTTTTCATATATATGTAAGGTTTCATTTATTTCAAAGTCAGAGTAACAGTGAAAGAGAGTGTGAATACACTTCCACCTGCTGGTTCACTCCCCAAATGGCTGCAGTGGCTGGAGCCGAGCTGCTCTGAAGCCAGGAGCCAGGAGCTTCCCAGTCTCTCACATGGGTGCAGAGGCCCAAGGACTTTGGACAGCTGTTTCTTTCCTAGGTGCATTACCAGGTACCAGGACTCAAACCAGTGCTGCATGGGATGCTGGTACTGTAGGCAGAGGTTTAGCTTGCTGTGCCATGATGCTGACCTCAACTTAACGGAGCTCTCAAAGCATCATAGTTCTGTCCTGTAGTCTTCATTCCTAGATCAATCAATTGTACAGTTTGGCATATAAAACAATAATTTTCTTACAACAAGTCATTACCCAAGCTCTTCCAGATGTTAATGCCACAGGACTGTTTCTGCATTAAAAGTTATATACATCAATGTTTGGCAGAGCACTTCAGTAACTGCTCAGGACGGCTGCACCCCACAGTGGAGTATCTGGTGTGAGCACCGACTCCTCCACTTCTGATCCAGCTTCCTTTGCGCATCCTTGAAACAGCCAGATGATTGCAAGTACCTGGGACCCTGCCATTCACACGGGAGACCTAGCTGAGTTATGGGCTCCTAGCTTCTGCCTGGGCCACCCTCTGGCCCTTGTGGGCATTTGGGGAGGGAATCAGTGGAGAGAAGACGTATCTCTGTCTCCCTTCCAAATAAAACATTAAAATTAAAAATAACAAAAATTGCACACCACTTTGAAGCAATGTGTAAATACAGGATTTTCATGAAAAGATTTCACAAGCTATTAATGTAGCAAAAACTCTTGAAAACTGTCCAAAGCTTTGTTTTGCCATTCATTAACAGTCTGATGGGAAGATTATAATCCACAAGTGAAAATTGCTTGAATTTGCTAAATATGCAAGGAATTAAAAAAAAAAATTTATTTGAAAGGCAGAGTTACAGAAAGGGAGAGATCTTCTGCCCACTGACTCACTCTCCAAACAGCTGCAATAGCTGGGGTTGAGCCAGGCCAGAGTGGGGAGGCTAGAACTCTATCTGGGTCTACCACATAGGTGGAAGGACCCACCTACGTGGGCCATCTTTTGTGGCTGTCCCAAGCACATTAGCAAGGTGCTGTATTGGAGCTGGAACAGTCAGAAATCAATCAGCACCCATGAGGGATGCCATATCTGTAGGCAGTGGCTTAATCTACTCTTTTACACTGCTATCCCAGGAAATTATTCTTTACTCTGTACCCTTGAAAAGCCCAATATATTTAGAAGAAAAAAATCATTCATTTCAGAAGAATGACATCTGAGTTTAAGTCCAGGATCTCTATTCATTTCCTCTGTGACTTCAGACAAGTCATTTGTAAACACCTCCTCCTGTGGGGATACTGGCGTCATTCGTTCATCATGAGCACCCACACAATTACAGACATTACGCAGCATTACAGGGCACCTCCGAGAGTTAAACAGTGTCTTCTTTAACCAGATCTCACTGGGCAGAACAATCATAGGCAGAATGTTACACATATAATTAAGGATGTTTGAAAAGTGTGATGGCACTCAGTAAACAAAACAAACCTCTAGGAAAGGCTAAAATCAGGAAAGCTGGTTTTAAAGATAGGAAAGTCCAGTTAGGATGGACAACAAAAACAAAAGTAGAAGAGCAAGGAATCCAGGGAATGTTGTAGAGTACAGATTTTCAGAAATACAATATATACAGATTTCTTAGTAAGGAATGATATCTAATCAAAGTCGTGCATAAGTAACCTTTCTGTCAGGTGTAAGATGAAATGAAATATGAAAACCAGGAGTCAGAATACTGTCAGGAACTAATGCAATCCCAAGTATACACTGCCAGTTCACTATTACTGCCAAGTCCTCTCTCCATGATCACATTCTAACTTCCTTAAGTGTATAAATTAGTATTCTTTAGCATGTAGCTGGTATTCTAAGATGCTGTCACCAAGTCTGCCTACAGACAGAACTAGTAAAATGGCCCTCTGTTACCTTAGAATACATACCTCCTCACTGAGAAGTGGCACACACTCAGGCTGTAGGGGTCTTGGGACCGAGAGGCCAGGGCCTGGTAGAGACACATTCGACAGACGCCTCTTTCTCACTCCACTGCAGTTATTGGGAATCTTGAAGGCACATCGTTTATGATAATTTAATCCACAGCCTAAATACATTTTAAAAGGCAAAAACTAATATTAAAAGGACTTCACTATTTAAGTGTAATACACAAAACCACTGCTTCTTTTATTTAACTTATATTCTCTGGCAGTAATACCTAACTAAGGGCAAGGTGACAGGTTAAATGGAAACAATTTCAGAAAGAATAAGAAACATGCAGAAACACTCAGAAAGGATATGTTTGCTAGAGCAGTGGCTGTGGCAATCTTCTGGGATCCTATTAGAAAATGTACATTCCTGGACTCTATTCCACACCTACTGACAGCGGAATGCTCAGGACAGGATCCAGCAAGGTATGCTTTATGATGGATGGTGGGGTTCGAGAAACACTGACTAAAAGCAGAAGTCAGCAAGCTGTGGCTTGTGTACCAAGTTCCTCCCACAATGTCAGCATTATATGAAGAGCAAATTTCATTGTTCATAACTAAAGTATATTGGAATAGAGCCATTCCAGTTTGATTCCACACATCTGTTGTTAGCTTCACTCTCAGCATAGCATCCTCACGACAGAGATCAGCTGGCCAATTAAGCCTAGAATACTTCTTCTCTGGCCCTTCACGTTTGATCTTAGCCCAAAGGCCAAGAAACAATTCCCTCTGGCCCTTCAGGAAAACAAAAAAGAAGACGCTTCTGGACTTTTCTCTTTAGAGAACTGCTTCTTAATTGAAATTTATATTTGGTCCTACTCCCCAGCAATTCTAAATCAGAACAAGAAAGAAAGGAAGTTAACATTTATGGAGTCACTTTCTCATCAAGTGTTACGCGCATTGGAGAAAGCGATGGGGTACAGATATGTTATAGAGACACTGACCCCTAGAGTGACTGTGTGGTGGCAGAAGCAAGAACAGACTCTCACACTAATTCTAAAATGTCATGACTACCAAGTCACCCACTAATGTTCTTCTTTGTTTTTCATCAACAATTACAGAATGCAAACATAAAATCCTACAAAGTAAAAAAAGTAAAAGAATGTACAGACACATACCTTCACATTTCAGTCCCTGGCGTACCAATCCCCACAGCATTTCACCACAGTAATCACAAAAAGTAGGAGCTTTGTAAGAATGAACATAGAGGGTATGTGGACGAATCTGGAAGTCTTCCACTGTGGCCAAAGCTAAAAGAAAACAATTTTTTAAATTGTAAATCCTATCTTTGTAATTGCACTGAAATTAGGAATGTTCACCATATTCATTTATGTCAAAGTACACAGAACTGTATTCTCTCTGAAGGTTTCACTTAACCATAAAAAGAAATTACTTTAACATCTAAAATGGTGATTTTTAAACTTTAGTTTAGGGAACAGATATTTAGCCCAGTAACTGGGATGCTCACACCCAACACTGCAGTACTTGAGTTGGAAGACTAGATAAATTTCTGATTCTATGTATGTAGTACCTGAGAATTAGGAGTGATGGCTGAAGTTAGGAGGCTACTGCCACCCACGTGAGGGAACTCAACTAAATTCCTTGCTCTGGCACTGGCCCACTGTGGGCCACTGTGGTCATTGGGGAAGTGAACCAGAAAAAGGGGCCTTTCAATAAATACATACATACATGCATAAATGTATCATTTTAACTCCAGTTTAGGAAGGATACTAGTTTCAAATAATGTGAGCTCCAACAGTATTTCTGTAGGTTAGGTATGAAGGCATTACAAAAATTCATGGAAAACAGATACTGTTTTTAAAAAGTGCATGAATTTCAAACATCTTCTGTGCCAAATCAACTTTTTATTTTTCCTTTTTGATTTTCTTTTCTTTTTTTTAAATTGGAAAGGCAGATTTCCAGGGTGAAGGAGAGATAGAGTGAAAGATCTTCCATCTGCAGGTTCACTCCCCAAGTGCCTGCAATGACTGGAGCTGAGCCAAACTGAAACCAGGAGCCAGGAACTTCTTCCAGGTCTCCTACACAGGAATAGGGTTCCAAGGTTTGGGCCATCCTCTACTGCTTTCCCAGGCCAGAAGCAGGGAGCTGGAAGGGAAATGGAGCAGCCAGGAAATGAACTGGCACCCATATGGAATTCTGGCGTGTGCAAGGTGAGGATTTAACCTCTAGGTCATCGCACCAGGCCCAATTCTATTTTCCCAATTCTATTTTTCCATTAACTTTCTGAAACACCCTAGTAAAGTATTTTCTCATACTGACAAGATAACAAATAACAGACCTATTTTATGCAACTGAAAATAGTCTAGGACACACCTGAGAGATAACAGAGTGCTTGGGTTTAAGTCCTGGTTTCTGCTTATGTGTGCATTGGGACGCAGAAAGCAACAGCTCAAATACCTCAGTCCCTTCCATTCTGGTGGGAGAGCTAGACTGAATTCTGGCCAATCTAGCCTTAACTGTTCAATACATTTTGAAAGTACAACAGCAAATGAAATTCCCTGTCTTTCAAATAAGTATCTTTAAATGGAGTAATTTATAATACACTAGAAAATGTAACATTAAAAATATTGCAAAACTTGGGTCAGGTGCAGTGGCCTAGTGGCTAAAGTCTTTCCTTGCACACGCTGGGATCCTATATGGGTGCCGGGTCTGATCCTGGCGGCCCTGCTTCCCAGCCAGATCCCTGCTTGTGGTCTGTGAAAGCAGTTAGATGGCCTAAAGCCTTGGGACCCTGCACCTGTGTGGGAGACCCAGAAGAAGCTTCTGGCTCCTGGCTTCAGATCAGCTCTGCTCTGGCCATTGCAGCTGCTTGGAAAGCGAATAATCTGGCGGAAGATCTTCCTCTCTATCTCTCTTCCTCTCTGTATATCTGACTTTCCAATAAAAATAAATAAATCTTTAAAAAAATAAGCTTTACATTAAAAAAAATTGCAAAACTTAACTTTAACTTATAAGCTCTGTGGTAAAAACAGAGTTCTAACACTGACAGTCTCCTGTCCTTCTCCACAGTCATAACGGTTAAGTAAAAGAGATTTTTCTTTCCTCAGTGAGCAATGCATCAGGAAACAAAGACTTTCCTCTCGCCTCAGTCTGCAAATTCCAAATGGATAGCCCTGTGTTTTGACGAAGCATCCAAGGACAGATGGTTTGTGGCTGCGATGTGAAAGGTGAGTGATGAGGGGGTTGGGAGAGGGGGGAGGGCAGAACTATGACAGGAGTGGGCACTGAGAAGGAGAGGGGACAGAACAGGCTGAAGCAAAAATCTGACATGAGGACAAAGTGACAGCAGGACTCTGGGTCCTTGGCCAGGCAGCTGGCTTCATTTCTTTCATTATTCCTATTTTCTTGCCCAACAAAAAATGCTGCAGATCCATTATTTACATTACGACTAAGACACTTTTCCTTGCTTTACACCACTCCCTAATGATCCTGCCACATATCGTTGGATGAGATCAGAAACAGAGTTAGGAAGAAAGAACGGTAAGAATGAGTGAGGCACAAAAAGGAAAGACGTGACAATGTCTTCTGAGAACGAATGGGGAGGAACGTCTGACAAAGGCATGCGAAAAGTCAGTACTGCAGCTTCCTCTTCCATATCTGCATTGTTTCCCCTTTTTTCGTGAATCTTTTCAGAAACTCAATTTTCTTCTTCTATGCTCTTTACAGATGTGGGGAAAGGGAACAAAATTTCAGTATAATTGTTTTATTTCTTCAATTCAGAGAAAAGAGTATATTCCTCTTTTAGTTAAACTGCTATTTCTCTTAGCTGAATCACTCTCAAGTAATTCAGTTTATTTTCCTACTTTTTCTCATCTGCGCTATAACCTTCCTGAGAGCAAAAGTCACACAGTAACCACTACGACAGATAAAGGAAGCAATTACTGTACCAAGACCAAGTACGATCAGACATAGCAGTCAGCACAGAAAGAGACTCTATGGGGAAAAAAAGAAGAGAAAAAGCTACTTACTCACCTGAAAGAACAACTTCTACTAGGTCTCCTTCATGTATTTCATCTGCTGAGGTAATCAGCTGCAAAATATTTTCTGAGTTCATGTCATGGCGAAAGAGAAGAATTTTATCATACATGCCAAAGAATCCACACTCTGGAAACTGTGGGGAAAACGACCTTATATCAGTATATTCACAGCTTTCTATTTTTATGAGTAAATGATTTAAGTCTTAGGAAAGAATTTTAAACACACGATGTTAGTCTAGCACAATATTTGTAAAAATCAATTAACATCAAAAAGGAGAGATACATACTAAAGTATGATTGTTAATTTTTCAAGTTCAAAACTAGCAGGGTCTCTCAGTGGATGGCACAGCCCAAGTGCGGAGGGCCACCTCCCACTACTCTGCTAGGTGCATGAGCAGAAAGGTAGATCGGGAGTGGAGCAGCTGGGGCACAAACTGGTACGCCACAGTGGTAGGCAGCAACTTAATCAGCTACGCCACGAAGCTGGCCCCAGATATCCGGGGTTTTTATATCCAGTTCCTGTTGGAGAAAATAATCCTACTGCTATTCTGTTCCTAGAGAGCCTGAACCACGAACAGTCTTTCCCATTCTCTGGAGTCGCATGGTCCAACACATGGTGACTCCCTACCTACACCCAGGTATTTAAATTTGAAATAATTAAAATTAAGTTAAAAATGTAGTTTCCCAGTTAGTCTGGCTACATTACAGAACTTAACTGCCACCTTGACTATCAGCCGCCATACTGGAAAGGACATACAATCAATCCTCTTTCATCACCCTGCTAAGCTCTACTGAACAGTGCAGGCAGAAGAACAATAATTTGATTATTCTTAAAAAACATTTATTCATTTTTATTGCAAAGTCAGATATATATACAGAGAGAGGAGGAGAGACAGAGAGGATTAGAACTGGCACGCATATGGGATCCCAGTGCATTCAAGTACTTTAGTACTTTAGTACTGGGCCACTGCGCCGGGCCCAAAGACCAATAATTTTCTTTTTTTTTTTTTTTAAAGATTTATTTTTATTATTTTTTTTATTGGAAAGGCGGATATACAGAGAGGAGAGACAGAGAGGAAGATCTTCCGTCCGATGATTCACTCCCCAAGTGAGCGCAACGGGCCGATACTATGCCGATCCGAAGCCAGGAGCCTCTTCCGGGTCTCCCACGAGGGTGCAGGTTCCCAAAGCTTTGGGCCGTCCTCGACTGCTTTCCCAGGCCACAGGCAGGGAGCTGGAAGGGAAGCGGGGCTGCCGGGATTAGAACCGGCGCCCATATGGGATCCCGGGCGTGCAAGGCGAGGACTTAACCACTTGCGCCACCGCGCCGGGCCCAAGACCAATAATTTTCAAACTTCAGTCACAAGAGTATTAATTCCAATATTTCTAAAACACACACTTAGAGCCCCTAATATTTAGATAATATCCTCTTTTTAGCTCTATTTTCTTGTATTTACAAATACATGATTCACCACAGTATCTTTATTTGGGAGGTTATGTCATGGATTGAATTTGAAGGTATCTTTATCAAAATTTTTATGATTAATAGTTTGAGATTAAAATTTTAAGTGCTTACTTCAAATAATAAGATTCAACTTTTAAATCCACTAAAAAATCTTTTTTATTACGAACCCTTTTGTCAAGGGCTTCCAAAAACTGCAGCAAGGAAGCTGCTCTGCTATGCAGGAAACCGCGACCCAGAAGCAGGTTGTCTGCAAATGGTTTAGCACCAGGTTCTCTACGAACGAGTGCTGGGTGGCGGATGAGAAGGTGGCCCCCTTTCCGGCCATGTCCTATTTCCCAGGATGAAAGGCTCTCCGCAGGGGACCCAGATGCATCCGTGGGTGGGTGGGGATGGTGGAAGGTCCACTATCCTAAGCCATCCAAAGCCATCCAGGCCATCCGAGGCTCTTTAGTGCTGCCGCATCGTTCCACCTGGGCGGGATTCTGACTCAGAGGCGTTCAGTCATAATCCCACAGATGCTAGCTTTGTCCCACTGGCTCCTCAGCCAAACACATACAGATCCATTTTTAAAAAGTAGATTATAGTCTAAACTACCAATACCTCAGAACACAGCACTCTAGAAAATTCTTCAGCTCTCAGGTCTAAATGCTCATTTACAAACTCCACCCTATATCAGAGGCCCACAGCGACGGGACATGACCAGTGAACTGAGCAGCACGGAGGTCCCAGAGGAAACGCTTCCCCTGCTTCATCTGGAGGTCCTTATTCACGAGCACACACAAAATAAGTCTCTGGTTGGTTTTCTAATGCGAACAGTTTGACCATGGAACGAATCACAGTCTCTTGTTTGCTTTGCCCGGTGAAAAAGCATAACCATGTTTGCAGTCCACTTTTGGCTTCAGCCATGTGTTTAATGGGAGGATAGTACCAAGCTTCATCTTATATTTTGATCTTAACTGTTCCACTGGAAAAAAACTTTTGTACATTTCTAAATTGTTTTCAAGATTTTTTTTCACGTTTTCAAAAACCTGAAAACAATGATTTAGATGGTTAAGAGTTCATAGGTTTTTAATCTGGGAAACCAATAGGAAAGTATAGAAATATTCAAAAAATTTTATAACATTTATCCTATTTTCAATTTTTATTTATTAAATTGTATTTATAAAACTATACTATGTCTATATATATATATATATATATAACTGATAAGAGTTGTTAACTGAAAAGTAGGTATCAGGATCAAAAACGTATTTAAAAATTATTTTTTAAAAATTTACTGAATTTATAAACTATTATACAACTGAAGAATAAATACCCTCACAACTAGGTTGTAATTACTTTTTCATTTAAATAAAGATTTGTTCATTTTTATTGGAAAGGCAGATTTACAGAGAAGAGACAAAGAAAAAGATCTTCCACCTGCAGGTTCACTCTCCAAATGGCAGCAATGGCCAGAGACGAGCTGATCTGAAGCTGGGAGCCAAAAGCTCCCACATGGGTACAGGGTCCCAAAACTACATGCCATCCTCTGCTGCTTTGCCAGAGCTGGATGGGGGTGGAGCAGCCAGGACATGAACCAGCAGCCATATGCGATACGGGTGCTTGCAAGGCAAGGATTTAACCACTGAGTCTTTGTCCAGTTGTAATTTTTTTTTTTAAGATTTATTTATTTTTATTGGAAAAGTTAGATTTACAGAGAGAAGAAGAAACAGAAAAGATCTTCCATCTGCTGGCTCATTTCCTAAGCAACTGTAATGGCCAGGGATGAGCTGATCTAAAGTCAGGAGCCTGGAGCTTCCTTCAGGTCTCCCATATGGGTGCAGGATCCCAAGGCTTTGGACCGTCCTCTACTGCTTTCCCAGGCCACAAGCAGGGAGCTGAACGGGAAGTGGAACAGTGGGAGAGGAAATGGCACCCACATAGGATACTAGCAGATGCAAGGTGAGGATTTAGCCACTGAGCCATCGTGCTAGGCCCTGCAATTATTTTTAAAGGAGCTTATTTTAAAAGAATCAGACATTCCACTCTCATAAAAACAAAACATCTAATAAAATATTTGAATAAATGAAGCTAAAGTGACATTTCTTGCATGTCTCTTAAGTTCAAGGTATTGGTTCCATAGTTTTGTAAAGATACAATACAATGCAGTTTATTTTTCAGGATCTTATAATCTAATAAGATGACAAAAATAAAGTTTTAAATAGCATAAAACAAATGAAAACAATGAAATACAAAGAGAATCCTAGCATAAGGAACAAACCACTTCAACTAAGGTAATGCGGAGAAAGCCAGTATGGAATCCAGCAAAACTGTAAAAAGGAGAAGTACAGCTTACACAGGCTGAAAGCAAAAATGTGTCATTGCTGACGAAGTACATGGTAATGGAAGACGGAGTGAAGCCTTGTGATTGAAGCATCAGTAGGGGGTGAGCTGTGACGAAATGCACACAGGGCTTGACTGGTGCATATCAACAGAAAAACCTGTAATCAGAACGGCTGGTTCAAGCTTAATCTTCCACTAACTATAGCTTGATCTCTCTGCATGTTTCCGTTTATGTTTATGGATGTATTTGCAAGGCTGAGCAACACACGCACACACACACACACACACACACACACACACACACACACACACACACACACATATGGAGAGAGAGAGAGACACTGGCTGTGATAGTCAGGTTTGGGACAGACTGAAACTAGCAGCCAGGAACACTAGTAAGGACTCGAGCCAAGGGGAGCAGATGAACTATGATATGGAATGCTAACCCTACCCAGCTGCACCACAGCATTGGTCCTGCCAGGAGCTTCTTGTGCATCTCCCATATGGGTGCAGGGCCCCAAAGCTCTTAGCCACCCTCCACTGCTTTCCCAGATGAGAAGCAAGGAGCTAGATGGGAAGAAGGGCATCTGTGACAAAAACTGGCACCCATGTGGCATGACAGCACTTACAGGCGGGAGATGAGCCAACTGAGCCGTCACGCTGGCCACTGGTCCCCAATCTGTTAACACTGACAACGCTGTGTGTACAGGAACTAACCGAGGAAGATCCTAGAGCAAGCTCTTAAAGAAAGGCTGAAGCTGTCAGTCAGCAAGGAGATCTCAGGGTCTGAATTACATGGTAAGAAAATGAGGAGAGACATTCTTTCAAAGTTATCTTTTTGATGATTCACATGAATCATCAATACGGTTTGATCAAACCTGAAGTTCCAAAGAACAGAACCTGAAGAACTGAATAATAAACACATCAAAGAAAGAGGAAAATACAATTAAATTTTTGTCTTGGAAAAAGACAAAAAACTACTTTCTTAATAAACACATAATACAAATAAGAAATTGGAAATCTGCCCTTTCCAATAAAAATAAACAAATATTTAAAAAACTTCCTTATTAAAAATAATATGCCTGCTCCTGAAAACCAATTCTTTTTTAGGATTGATTTTTATTTTCAAATAAAAATAATCTACCTTTCAAGGCAGATTATCAGAGAGAAGGGAAGACAGAGAGAGAGACTGCCCATCTGCTAGTCACTCCCCAAATGGCTGTAACAGTCAGAGCTGTACTGATCCAAAGCCAGATGCTTCTTCCAGGTCTCCTAAGCAGGTGCAGAGTCCTAAGACTTTGGACCACACTCCAACTGCTTTCTCAAGCCATAAGTAGAGAGGTGGGT